TGGCTTTTGCCCTTGATTTCCTCATTTGAAGTGGGAGTAGGTGGGACTGCCTTCCAGGGCTACTGCGTGTCTCGTGTCTAAGGTGAACATACTTTGTTTCCTGTAATGGCGAGTGCCGGTCCAAGGGTGGCATCCAAGGACCTACCAGGGTTGGCCTTCACTGAAGTCCACCTCTGGCCACCAGCGGCTTCCTATTTTCCATCAGCAAATACCTACTTCTCCTGCCCTGGTGGACTTCCACCACCTGATTGAAGGCAGGCTTCCAGGGGATCAGAGGCCACTGTCCTGGCAGATGACACATGATAGGAGGGCTTTGCAGATCAGCAGAGGGCAAGGCAGTGACCCTCGGAGGCCCTGGGTGGTTCCTGGAAAGGACTTACATAAGCTACAAGGTAAATACAGATGGGCCTGGACCCCAGACCCACGGGAGAATCTCCAACTGCTGGGGGGGGCAGGTAGTGGGACTCGTATGCTTCCTGCACTGGGCTCTAACCTGCTGTCCGTATGCTTACTGCAGGAAACTCCCTGCCGTTATATTGTCTATCCACCTTCAGGTGGGTGTGTGCAACCGGAGCGTCACAGACTGGCTTTCTCCCCTGGACCTGCAACTGGTCAGGAAATGCGGACTTGGAAGGTACAAACGTGTCTAACCTGCATCCTGTAGGCCACATATATCCCAGGATAGCTACAAATGTGGCCCAACACATTTGCAGGTGACATCATCATGCAATCTCAAAAGACATCCCAGAGTGAACTAAGACGCATGCCCAGAAACTCCCAGTGGGGCTACTAACGTGCCAACTAGGGAACACAAGAGCATTGATGAGTCCCCAGAATTACAGGGGTCCACTGAGCCCTGTACAGGGCTCTGCTCTATGTGTCTACACACCCGTCAACACCTTAGGAAGCAAGGAGAGAGGATGCAGAGGCATCCCAGAGCCAGGTGTGCACCCTCTGAGGCAGTTTCCTTCATGGTGGGTATAGGACAAGCCCTTGCATCTCTCTCCTCTGAAAGCAGTCTCCTCTGGGGCAAGTGACAGAGGGCCATTTGAGGAAGAGACGTTCAAGATATCTAAGGGAGGCCTTTGTTCAAAAGTGATTCCTCTGGACATGTAGTTAAAAAACAAGTTTTCTTAAAACCTTGGGAGCTTCAAGAACTCCAACTATTGTGTGTCTGAGTTCTCTGTGCTCACAGCGACTCTGCTGGCCCCTCTTAGTTCTCACTCCTAACCATTTTTTCCAGATCATTCCAAACACCTGGTAGAACTAGGTTTATGCCAGAACATTCTGGAAAAGAAGAAGAAGAAGAAGAAGAAGAAGAAGAAGAAGAAGAAGAAGAAGAAGAAGAAGAAGAAGAAGAAGAAGAAGAAGAAGAAAGAGGCACCATCCCTGTGTATGGACTCTGGTCCTTGGAGCTTGGAACCTGCTGTACACCTGGTAACCAAGATCTCTCTTTCCAATGGCCACTCTGGCCACCTGGTGTGCTAGGAAGGATGTCCTTCGGAGATGCAGCCCTGTCTATGAGCAGCCTCTGGCCATCCTTGTTCACTGTTATAAACATGCCACCTAGCACAATACTGCTGCTGGTAGAACAATGGCTTAATGCTGTCCCTGCCTGTCCCCTGGGTCATTCAGGAAATCATAATTATATAGGCAGATCACCTTGCAAGCTCTTTTAATATTTTCCATTTATTTATTGTATGTGGCAGTGTGGCTGGTGTGTGTGTGTGTGTGTGTGTGTGTGTGTGTGTGTGTGTGTGTGTGTAGGTCAGAGGACAACTTTCAGGAGTTGGTTCTTTTCTTCTACCATATGGGTCCCCAGGTTCAAATTCAAGTCATCAGGATTGGTGGCAAGCACCTTTACCCGCTCAGCCATCTCCAGGGTCCCCATTTTGCAAGCTCTGAAGCATTATACAAATAGCAGCTATTTCCTGGCCAGCGTGAGCAAGAAAAGGAGGACTTGCCAGTAGACAAGTAGGGAATGTTCTGTGGGTGTCTGGAGGGTGGGGCAAAGTTCACCACAGGTATGAGGTTAATCAGCAAGGGTGGGTTTAAAAGAAGTTCCTGAATGTGACAGTTTGGTCGGGTCCGCAGTTCCCCACGTAAAGAGATGTGCGCTTAAAGTTTCCTTTCCCGGGTAGGTTCTCCCGGGCGCTCATCTCCACAAATAGCATAGTGGCAGGCGCAGCGTGAGGACAGAGAGGAGAGCTGGCATAGCACACATTTCGTTCTCCAAAGAGAGGTATCCTGATGCGTTGGCACCCCGGGGGCCCTGTGCATTCCGTGAGCGGAGATCCAGTGGCGACGCAAACTAAGCGGCTGCGCCGGGCCACGGCCTCTCCCCCATCCCCGCTCCCCCCACGCCTCGGTGCTGGCCGTTGGCAGAGCCCCAGCACCTCAGCTGGGTACGGTCAACCCCAGCATAAGCAGAGGGGGCACTGCGCAGGGCGGGGCGGGGGTGCAGGGTCGGAGCGGCGGCGGCGCCTGCCTGCGACCGTCCCCGATGCCCTTCAGCCTCCTAGTTCCCTGTCTGCCACACCCACCCTGGCACCTCGGCCACCTGTTGCCGCGTGCCCCGGCTCGCTCTTCCTTTCTCCCCATTTCGCATCCTGGGGCCTTGAAGATCAGATTCCTCCCGCCAGCTACCCCCCACCCACGAACTCCCGGGACACTGGGGGGTGTTGCGCTCGGCGGTCTAGAAGAGCACACCGAGGGCACAAGGCTGGAAGCTGTACCCCATTCGCAGCCTTGAACTTCAGTCCCGGCTGCTGCACGGGGCAGGGAGCTGGAGCGCGCGCGCGTCGGAGTGTACCCTTTCCGCGGGGCTTTCTCGCCCGTCGGGTGACCTTGGGCAGTCCCTACACCTGGTCAGCCTCAGTTTACCAACGGATGCGGAGGGGCCCCC